GGTATATATAAAGCATCGGAGAACTGGCAAATAAACAGCATCCTGTCCTGAAAGCTGAAGTATTTTGGTCATGTTAAACATCATGGTTGCCTGGAAAGAGAGCCGAGATGGAGGCTACAGTTTTCAGAAAATATATCCGAGGCAGGTTTTTGTGAAGGTGGATGCCAGACATTGAGGAAGCACAGAAGGCTAGAGAATCTGGCTAGAGAAAGAGAGACTTCCTTCCAGGTGTGCCGTGACGAGGTTCTATAAAAAACCTGTGGACTGATGATTATGAGTCTCCAAAGTAGAGAGCAGCTGGTTAAGCTACTAGAATGCTAGGCTGCCATTAGAGAACCCAGGGTTCAATTCCTCTGAAAGATGATCAAATTATTTTTTTTTAAACAAATAAGCAAGATTTGTAAGATCAGGCAAATGCGCTCAATAATTACCAAAATTTCTTTGTTCACCAGCTGTAAGCTCCTGCAGAAAGTCCTGGTTGTACATCCGTCTGGTCTATTCTTGTTTTACCCAGTGGGGCCCTGGAACCTACACGGGGTGTTCCCTAAATATGATAGTTTAAACAAATGTTTCTGGTTAGGAACCAAAGTGGCCAGAATACAAAATACAGTTCTGGAGAAACATCCTCATCATCAGGTGCCTTGCCGACTGGCATGGGCGATCATGCCTCTCCATAATCTGCGATCTCCTGCAGCATGTATCAGTTTGTTTGCCGACACACCTCCATGCCAGGCAACAAGACTGTCAAGCATCTTCTCTCGTTGTCTTCCTCTATCTCTCCTTCCACATATCATTCCAGTGGTCATAACATGTTTTATTTTTCCTCTTCTCATAACATGGCCGAAAAATTATTTTTTAAACATCAGATCCACCAAAACTTAGTGCGATGCTCATGAGGATCGAACACAGACTAACTAGGCAGCAGGGAAGGGAGTTCTGTGTCATTCTCTAATGCTTTGTTGTATTTCATTGTGAAATACCACAGTGGTTGTATTCAATATAGCCAGTAGTAGGTTTACATATGGGATGGTGAAATACTTTATGTCATAATTCTACGTGTGTATAACCAACTTGTTGTGTCTGACTAATTTTACGGATGACAGGTGGCATTTCTGGTGGCAAGTGTTGGCTTTGGATACATACTGTGTGTGCAAATTTCTAGATTGTTCCAGGACTAATGGTTTGTTCACCATTTTTTTTTTCTCTTATAAATGGGGCATTGAAGGACATTTCACTTGATTTTCACTGGCACAGGAATAGAGAAAGAATGGGGGAAAAACCTGATTACAGCAGAGTTGAAACCTCATCTAAGACAGAAGAGAAATCTTGGTAAATCTGCTTTGAGTGTCTATTTTTCTATTGTGTGTATTTTTTCATCAACTTGTGTTGTGTGCTTATATCCTAATGTCCATGATTGTGCGGGGAATTATTTCATGTTTTCAAAACATTTTCACTTTGAGACTTTGAATAATCAGGATACAATATATCGTCTGGTATATTTCACACCTGATAAGATACTCCTGGTTGAGTGGTTACATCGGGTTCTCGTGCGGGGGACCATCTCCGGAAAGGTGATGGAGTTTTCTGTCAGGGGCAGAATTAAACATCCTAACCTGCGCAGTCCATGACAGGTGAGTATTTATCAGCTGTGATATCATAGCTACCACCGCAAAATATGTGAGCCAATAAATTATGCTATATTGTATGTATATTGTTTGTCTTCGCTGGAATGAACAATTCTAACCATCTCACCCGGGAAAGCAGCAAAACTGATATTTTCAGTTGGGTTACAATTTATTGTATTTATGCTGACCTTTCTCTCCATATTTACGTGGCAAATGGAAGGCTGAGGTAAAAGGTAAAAGAGACAGACTCAATGTAATGAGTGAGGAGGAGGAAACAGTTTCTGTATTTGTTCATATGAAGATGACAGTAGTGATGGTTATTTAAGCTTGAAGATTTAAGGCAGTCATCAAAAATTTGCCCAGGGTAGGAATTTTGTTTTTCTGTTGTTAAAACAACTGGATGTTTGTTGTGTTGTGTCAATTTATTCATCAGTGTATACAAATTCAGCACTTTACATATTTGTTCTACCATTAAAATGATCATCCACGTTGGATTCCTTTGTTGTCTCAAATGAAATAAGCTTCTTCTTTTTGTCTCTACTATTGGAGCACCTCAGTGTCAGGACAGGATAAGATCTCTGGAACAGGGCCTTCTGTTTATCATGAAGTACTTTTCAGTGTGATATTTCTGCGAGTTACAGCTGTATCTGTAAAACAGTGCTCTCAGTAATCTTGTTACATGGCCAAATAAGCTAACTAGTGAAATTTGTAGCAGTCAAGTTTGTAGACCCGCAGAGAAGATTCGAGACTGGGGGCACATGGATTATTTATGACACACGTGCAGGGTGGCATGCTTCGCTTCGGAGGTCACAGGGGAGGAGCATTGCCTGGATCTCTTCTCCAGGAAATGAACAGGCAGACAGTGGAATATTGATGTACGATAAGGGATATGTGGTTAGGGCCTTATGGAAGAACGTGTACCAATCCAAAAAGCAAACGATCTCTAGTCTGGTGAGAGAGATGCAGTGACGAGAGGATCTGACTGACACTAGGAGCTCAGAGGCAAGTCAAGACGGTTATATCAAAACACTACTGGCACCATTCAAACTCTGCCCTGTCTGCTGAAGATGGGGACAGGGTGCTGTGATGTTGGTTCTTGAATACTTATGAGTCTGGGACGGATAACATAACCTCTCTGCACCACTGATTTCCATTACACAGCATCCCATATGTCTGCTGCTGGTGAAAACGTATATACATTCAACTGGAAATATGCCCTTAAAGATATGTTTGTTTCCTATGTATGGCAACGTATGGGGCATCCTGTCTGGCAGGGCTATTTAATTGGCAGCCCGCTGACCAAAATCTGGCCTGCGGAGACCTTGCAAACGGCCCACACATCATTGCCAAATTTAGTGGGTTTTTTTGATCGTTCGATGCTGGGGCTCCAGCTACTGGCCTGTGACCCGCCCTATTTTTAGAATTCCAGCCCGAGTATATTAGTTGAAAAGCCCAAGCTGCAGGGGACAAAAAGAAACATGCCTGTTAAATTCCTGCTACCCAAATTGAAAGAGAACTTGATAAGTGTTACAGGCAGAAAGACACTGCACTGTAAACCACAACATGAGATAACTTTTTATTTATTCAACTGGTGGGTAAACAAGAAAAATTAGGCCAACATTGGTATAACAATATCTCCCCCCTCCCCCCCCAGAAAATTGTACATAACTATGCACTTTCAAAACACAAGACCCAGGTTTGTATTCTAAAAAACGGTTTTCTGTCTGGGAGAAAAATCCCAACCACCACCAGCCATGGGTCCTAGATCCTCAGGTTAACCATGCTCTGTGCTGCTCCAACAAGTCATAAATACAGTTATGAGACCGGGGGATCTGACCGACACTCAACACAAAAGCGAGACGTGTACAAACAGTTATTGGCATCATGAAAATGTTTCGCTTGCTGCTAAAAGATGGGGACGAGTGCTTATAGGAACAAGTGCTAACAATTCATCAATATCATAAAGTATATAAGTCTACAATATCTTCCCTATCAACGTCATTGGGGAATTGACAGCTTATATATGAGCTGTCATGGTGTAGCAGCCTCAGCTCAGCAAGCTGAATATTTGTCTGAATGATTACTTCAACAATTTATGTCCTGGTGTCTGCTGAACACCTTTAGACCATAGGCAATCAATCAGGTGCTCTCTACAATAAAGATTGAATGCAATTTATCTCCCACTGTCTTGTAATGGTTTGTTTAGAAGCACTTTGTCTTTTAAGGCAGCCAAAGTATTTTAATTTTTTTGTTTTTTTTTTCCTTCATATTTCTTTCAGCAATTCTCTTTTTGCTAGACCTCAGCAAACTGTAAAGGTATCTTAGCAAAACCTTGTAATGGAAACAGGTCTTCTTTCTTGTGCTCACCCCCTGTAAACTCTGAAGCTGAAAATTCAGGCGTTTGGCAACTTTCGGACATGTCTACAGATCTGGCTTTTTTTTTTCATACAGACTACTCGCCTCTGGGGCAAATGTAATCCTTCTACGAAGGATGCCCCCAGTTAGTTGACTCCCGACAACATGGGGGCCAAGTCACAGATCTCAGTATTAATGATTATTAGCAAAACTTCACAAACAGCAAGCCAACCTTACCACCACCTACAACAAAAAGGCAATCAAGACAGATCCATGATTTTATTTACCATCTACAAACATAGAAACCACACACAAAACAAAATTCAACAAAACAATTTGCTGCTTTAGTCTACAGCCCTTGTCCCTTTCTCCACAAGCAACAACTAAAGCCAGCAATAATTATGTCACTTGTGATTAAGTGTCTTGCAGCCAGCAATAATTATATCACTTGAGATCAAGTGTCTTGCAGCCAGCAATAATTATATCACTTGAGATCAAGTGTCTTGCAGCCAGCAATAATTATGTCACTTGTGATCAAGTGTTAAGTTTTTCAACAGAACAGGTCACAGCAGCAGTAAACATTAACCCTTAAATGTATATGTGACAATAATTGTGACAACCCAAAGACACTGCCAATCTTTAATCAACTGCCACACCTCCTCCCCCATTTCTACAGCACTAAAAATAACTGAATTCCTTAATTTATTAAACACATAAATGATCAATTCCTAGAAAATAAATGTCTTCAAGTCTAAATCCCACACTTCTGCTAGTCAACGAAAGTAGCTGTCGAAAGAAAGCTGTAATATTCCATAAAGATCAGATGAAAAAGGAAAACATGCCGCAAATGATGCAATAAGAAAGCTCGAGATGTACACAGGCAGGGTGCACCAAGTTATTCCCTACATGTCAGGTATACGGTGTGTCAAGTCAACGGTGCTCCGCGACCCAAAACAAATCATATATAGTTTACAAGTATGTGCATTGTTCATATTAATGTTCTCTAACAGGCTCCACAGCTTAAAGGTCTTCTTCGTCATCTGGTAGGGCAGTCTCTTGTGCAACCTGTAACAAGTAGAGAAAAAATTGCTTATGTGTCACAATGCTCCACACAACCATACAAATACTGCATCACACACAAATTATACAAAGACAGCAAAAAACAAAGTGGACCCACTTACAGCTACCTTGTGACTCTATACCATACAAGGCGAACACCAAAGACCTAGAACATGGAACGAGAACATCAGAGCAATTCTACGACAGTCACAGTGAGCCAATGGTCAAACAGAGCTAGAAGCACAAGTTTATTATTCTGCTGGACACCCTAGGCGGTAGAGGAAGTGAACAAACAAGAATTGACTGACGGACTGTCTGATCCAAATTATGTATGAGCCAAACAGCTATCTGCCAATGCCTTCGTGCTGAACAGACTCCAGAACATGTCCTGCGAGACTGTCCTCTCCTGGCGGAGCAACATATGGCAACACCCAGTAGGACTGACAACTAAGCTTTGGGGAAACCTAAGAGACCTTGAAAAGACATCCCAGTGGATTATGCGCTTGACCAGAGATTGCCGAAGAAGAAGGAGACTGTCTAATCCAAACATGCTGTCAGGGAAGAATTATTTAAAAACAGCACTGAAAAAAAAGGAAGAATGCAGAGACAATCAGAGTTTGGTTTAAACTGACTTGAGACCTCAAGCTCTAAACGAGAGTACAACAGTTGCTTGTGGAAAAAATGTTCACCTGTAGTCTATGCGCTTTTATTTAGATTTATATTTTTTTTAAAGTGACTATAAAAAGTCGGCCAAAATATCTGCTGGGAGCCCTCATGGCGTAGCTTGTGGATGCTAACCTCCGAAGGCCCTGCATTCAGATCACAAAAATCTGGAATATATTTAAAGACAGGTGGCGCATTTCTTTTATTTCGTACTGCTGCCCAGTAAAACATAAAACAACTAATGGCAGCAAGCCTTACCTTGAGCTCATCCTCGTACTTGCGGACCAATAAAACCTAAAACAACTAATGGCAGCAAGCCTTACCTTGAGTTCATCCTCGTACTTGCGGGCCAAAGCTGCATCCATCTGGACCTCTGGTGGGATCAGGGCGGGCATCTCTACAAACTCTAGGTTGGGGTCCCCGACCAACTTGCGGGCCAGCCACAGGAAGGGCTTCTCAAAGTTGTAGTTGCTCTTGGCACTGATGTCATAGTACTGTCAACATGTCAAAATCAACAATGACAAGTCTGGTACATTTTGCTAAAGTCAGCCCTGCCAATAATTCACATAAATAAATGTTTCCCTTTTACAGAGTGCTGCATGAAAAGATGTAAACATTTTTTTTTTAAAACCAAGAGACTACTTGGAACTTAATAGGTCATTTGGACAACATCATACATTTTGGCTGGGTCAACTCGATAGCTAAGATCAATTTAAAAAAAAAAGCCTAGACCAAAAGACAAACATCCAGCTGCTAGAAAAACATGGATCATGTGTATTAGTAATAATGAGTTATCGCTAACACTGTCGTATACCCTGAAATGTGGGACTAACACAAAATTAACAATAAATGCAAAAAACCATCACCACAGAAACACTAACAACTTAGGTCACAATACTCTCTAGACTTCGGAAAAAACAAACTGTTTTGTTTTGTAACTGTATACACAGCTGTCATATATGCTCCTCTGTGTCGGGACATTTGTTTTCCAGGTTAGTTTTCTGGGATATCAATCTAACATGGTTGGCTAATGTGACCCAGGTTCCACAATTTATTCAGAGTTATAATGTGTTTAAAAAAACTGTCCTACCTGAAGGTTCTTCTTCCTGTGAAAGACAATGGTCTTGGCCTTCACCTTTCTGTCCTTAATGTCAACCTTGTTGCCACAGAGGACAATGGGGATGTTTTCACAGACTCGAACCAAATCCCTGTGCCAGTTGGGGACATTTTTATATGTGACACGTGACGTAACGTCAAACATGATAATTGCGCACTGACCTGCAAACACACCAAGAGAACATTTGAAAATGAATACCAACAGAAACCAAAAAATGCCGGACTTTGAGCTTTAAAATAATAAAATCCTGAGCCATGTTTTCAACACTCTACTTCAATACTTTCCTTTCTGATAACTAGTGAAACATGTCCAGAACAGAACAATAACTTACTACCCGCGCGCTTAGAATTACACTGGACCTACTCAATCACACTCCTGAAGATACAATCAACCTCCTCTCTTCCACCTTGTACGCTGATATCAACCTCCTCACACGAAAGAAATATGGATTTGTACATTTTATTTTCAGTCCCCACAATCCAAGGTTTCCATATATGCAGAGCTGACAAGATGCTCTGGTTCTCGGCCTAACCAAGGAATCATCACATCCTACATATGACTGCTCAACCTCATATCTGTATGCCAAGGTTCCAAATTGCAGTGAAACGCACACAGGAGGGAGACATAGCTCCCCTCTTTAGCCCCAATTCTGCAACGAGTGAAGCTAATAGCAACAGACATTGGAACCCTGATGTCAAACACTTTTTGACAGATAGAATTGAAGACTTTGCTGTAGGACATCTGAGCCTAATCAGCTGACTGATGACATTGACAGACTGTTGTGATGTGCCCCAACATTGTAATGATGACACTGTGGGTCAAGTGAGCTGTGAAACAAATCTCTTGGTCGAGGGCCGAGTCTCATCCGCTCAGTAGTCCTTTCACCCAAAGATGTTTTGACCATGGGGCTCTCCCATACATCTCAGATTTCCAGTATTTAGCTAGCTGCAAACTCAGGGTCACATACATGTTAGCGAAGGCCCCGGGTACTTTTGCAACAACTTTGCTTACAAACCAAATGTGTTTCCACAACCTTCAGGGCATGAGACACATTCCGTGACCACAGCAAGCAGCCATCTTGTCTGGTTCCATCGTTCTCGAACTTCCACTAGTGCAAGTGACCTGGTTACTGTCCAAAATCATTTCCTGTCAGTCTCCGTATGTTTGGCATAGGAGCCAAATTTGTTAGAAAAATTGGTGCAATAAAAGGATTCTAGCAAAATATAAACATAAAAACAGAAAGATCGGTCCAGGTTTTATATATTTTTTAAACGAACTAAACACACACAGAGAATAGATTAAGATGACATATACATATCACAAACAGTTATCCGATTATGAAAATCTTTACGATATACATCACCCCATCTAATATTTGTTCAGGTTGAACAACGTAATCTTTTACAGAATTAAAAAAATAACAAATGGTCTGGTATGAGATTGTGGACTTGACCCTACTGCTAGCCTGTTACGACTGCTGGCTGCGTCTGAATAGTTATTTATAGTATCAGTACTTATGGAAAAAACCATGTTTACCTGGGCAACACATTGCAGCAGAAGTAGAATGTGTCGGTCGAAAGGTTCAAATGTTGCAGCCATGTTAACGCAGATGAAGGTACTGCCTTTTTCTAATAACATTTCTATTCACATGATGGTTTACTGTAGAAATGTGAGGATAAACTCCTAAAGAGTAAGCCAGTGTTCTATACGAGTGTAAAGAAGTACAGTAGAAATGTGAGGATGAGCAAGCCAGTGTTCTATACGAGTGTAAAGAAGTACAGTAGAAATGTGAGGATGAGCAAGCCAGTGTTCTATACGAGTGTAAAGAAGTACTGTAGAAATGTGAGGATGAGCAAGCCAGTGTTCTATGAGTGTAAGGAAGCTCAGTAGAAATGTGAGGATGAGCAAGCCAGTGTTCTATGAGTGTAAGGAAGCTCAGTAGAAATGTGAGGATGAGCAAGCCAGTGTTCTATACGAGTGTAAAGAAGTACAGTAGAAATGTGAGGATGAGTAAGCCAGTGTTCTATACGAGTGTAAAGAAGTACTGTAGAAATGTGAGGATGAGCAAGCCAGTGTTCTATACGAGTGTAAAGAAGTACTGTAGAAATGTGAGGATGAGCAAGCCAGTGTTCTATACGAGTGTAAAGAAGTACTGTAGAAATGTGAGGATGAGCAAGCCAGTGTTCTATACGAGTGTAAAGAAGTACTGTAGAAATGTGAGGATGAGCAAGCCAGTGTTCTATACGAGTGTAAAGAAGTACTGTAGAAATGTGAGGATGAGTAAGCCAGTGTTCTATACGAGTGTAAAGAAGTACTGTAGAAATGTGAGGATGAGCAAGCCAGTGTTCTATACGAGTGTAAAGAAGTACAGTAGAAATGTGAGGATGAGCAAGCCAGTGTTCTATACGAGTGTAAAGAAGTACAGTAGAAATGTGAGGATGAGCAAGCCAGTGTTCTATACGAGTGTAAAGAAGTACTGTAGAAATGTGAGGATGAGCAAGCCAGTGTTCTATACGAGTGTAAAGAAGTACTGTAGAAATGTGAGGATGAGTAAGCCAGTGTTCTATACGAGTGTAAAGAAGTACTGTAGAAATGTGAGGATAAACTCCTAAAGAGTAAGCCAGTGTTCTATACGAGTGTATGAAAGCACAGCGAAGACAGGAAGCTGGCTGTTTTAAGATCATTATAAAGTAACAATGGAACTTTTTATGAAGATAATATATATTTAAAACAGATAAGTTACTAACCTTGGATGTAATATCCATCACGCAGACCACCAAACTTCTCCTGTCCAGCAGTGTCCCAAACATTGAACTTAATGGGCCCTCGACTTGTGTGGAAAACTAGAGGGTGGACTTCTACTCCAAGTGTGGCTGCAATCAAAAAAAGTAATACAGGCATAACGCATCTATACCACTCGGAAAAACGAACAGAAGACAAAAATAAGTAACACTACAGTAACTGTACACATGTGTGGAATACTGAGGTCACTTGAATAAGTGTTATAATTCTGTTATAAATGTCTTAACAGCAGAGCTGTAACAGTTGTATCTGTTGGTTCACACATCTGACTTCTTTGGGTTCATGTCCCTTTCTCTTTGTATTCGGCGGCTGTAAATTCAGGTTGTGCATGCACATCTGTTTTAAAGATAGCTTATTTGTAAGCAGACTTGGTACTTTACCTTTCAGATAGATTCACTTTGAATGCAAGGGAGGACTCACTAATGAGTCCAACTTTTGCAACATGCTTGTTGGGTAGGGTTATATCATTGATTTCCTATAATGGGTCCACTGGAAGAGCTTATGTGACCGGAGGCACCCCTCGCACCAACAACTACAGGCACTACCCATCAGCACCTCGCACCAACAACTACAGGCACTACCCATCAGGGTCGCACCACCAACAACTTCACTACCCATCAGCACACAACCCCTCGTACAGGCACTACCCATCAGCACACAACCCTCGCACCAACAACTACAGGCACTACCCATCAGCACACAGCCCCTCGCACCAACAACTACAGGCACTACCCATCAGCACACAACCCCTCGCACCAACAACTACAGGCACTACCCATCAGCACACAACCCCTCGCACAACAACTCAGCATCTAACATCCCCCCTCGCACCAACATACAGGCACTACCATCAGCACACAACCCCTCGCACCAACAACTACAGGCACTACCCATCAGCACACAACCCCTAACAACAGCTACAGTACCCATCAGCACACACATCGCACCAACAGCTGGTACTACCCATCAGCACACAGCCCCTCGCACCAACAAACTACAGGCACTACCCATCAGCACACAGCCCCCTCGTTACAACACAACCCCTCGCACCAACAACTACAGGCACTACTGCACACAGCCCCTCGCACCAACAACTACAGGCACTACCCATCAGCACACAACCCTCGCACCAACAACTACAGGCACTACCCATCAGCACAGCCCCTCGCACCAACAACTACAGGCACTACACCATCGCAGCTGGCACTACCCATCAGCACACAACCCCTCGCAACAACAACTACAGGCACTACCCATCAGCACACAGCCCTCGCACCAACAACTACAGGCACTCACCATCACAACCCTACCAACACTACCCACTCAACACATCTGACTTCTTTGGTTCATGTCCCTTTCTCTTTGTATTCGGCGGCTGTAAGACACTTCAGGTTGTGCATGCACATGTTTTCGCAAAGATAGCTTATCGCACCAACAAACTACAGCAGACCCATCAGCACACAACCCCTCGCACCACTTTACCCATCAGCACACAGCCCTTCAGATAGATTCAACTTTGAATCAGCAAGGGAGGACTACACTACCCATCAGCATACAGCCCCTCGCACCAACAACTACAGGCACTACCCATCAGCACACAACCTCGCACAAACAACACAGACACTACCCATCAGCACACAACCCCCTCGCACCAACAACTACAGGCACTACCCATCAGCACACAACCCCTCGCACCAACAACTACAGGCACTACCCATCAGCACACAACCCCTCGCACCAACAACTACAGACACTACCCATCAGCACACAACCCCTCGCACCAACAACTACAGACACTACCCATCAGCACACAACCCCTCGCACCAACTACAGGCACTACCCCAGCACACAACCCCGCACCAACAACTACAGGCACTACCCATCAGCACACAACCCCTCGCACCAACAACTACAGGCACTACCCATCAGCACACAACCCCTCGCACCAACAACTACAGGCACTACCCATCAGCACACAACCCCTCGCACCAACAACTACAGGCACTACCCATCAGCACACAGCCCCTCGCACCAACAACAGGCACTACATCAGCACTACCCCTCGCACCATCAGCACACAGCCCCTCGCACCAACAACTACAGGCACTACCCATCAGCACACAACCCCTCGCACCAACAACTACAGGCACTACCCATCAGCACACAACCCCTCGCACCAACACACCACCCATCAGCACACAGCCCCTCGCACCAACAAATACAGGCACTACCCATCAGCACACAGCCCCCATCGCACACAACAACTACAGACACTACCCATCAGCACACAACCCCTACCAACAACTACAGACACTACCCATCAGCATACAGCCCCTCCACCAACAACTACAGAACACTACCCCATCAGCACACAAAACCCCTCGCACCAACAACTACAGGCACTACCCATCAGCACACAGCCCCTCGCACCAACAACTACAGGCACTACCCATCAGCACACAGCCCCTCGCACCAACAGCTACAGGCACTACCCATCAGCACACAGCCCCTCGCACCAACAGCTACAGGCACTACCCATCAGCACACAGCCCCTCGCACCAACAACTACAGGCACTACCCATCAGCACACAGCCCATCGCACCAACAACTACAGGCACTACCCATCAGCACACAGCCCCTCGCACCACAACTACAGACACTACATCAGCACACAACCCTCGCACCAACAACTACAGGCACTACATCAGCACACAGCCCCTCGCACCAACAACTACTACAGCACACACTACCCATCAGGCACACAGCCCCTCGCACCAACAACTACAGGCACTACCCATCAGCACACAACCCCTCGCACCAACAACTACAGGCACTACCTATCAGCACACAGCCCCTCGCACCAACAGCTACAGGTACTACCTATCAGCATACAGCCCCTCGCACCAACAACTACAGGCACTACCCATCCGGACACAGCCCCTCGCACCAACAACTACAGGCACTACCCATCAGCACACAACCCCTCGCACCAACAACTACAGGCACTACCCATCAGCACACAGCCCCTCGCACCAACAACTACAGGCACTACCCATCAGCACACAACCCCTCGCACAGGCACTACCCATCAGCGGGTCTACTCCGGATAGCTTGCCAAAATGGGGCCCTTGAACCCACACCAGTACAAACGTGTTTTATACCCTATTCTATTCTGTTCCCCGGATGTAAGCTCAGGTAGAAAGTCCAGGTTTGTTCATCCATTTAGACTATGGTTCTGACTATGGTTGTTTTGTGCATCTCGGTTATGTCCATTCGACTTCCAAGGAAGCCCCCCCCCAAAAAAAACTGGGAAGGCAGTGTTTTCCCCACAATAGGGCACCAGAACCCAAATGGGGTGTTCAATCGGCATAAAGTTCGGACAGACTACTAACTTAGAGACAACAGTTAAAGCCTGGCTATATTAGTGGTTATATATATCACTCACCAACATATTTCTTCTCAAACTCTCCAGTTTTGTGACGTTTGACGAATGTCGTTTTACCAACACCACCGTCGCCGACCAACACCAGCTGCAACAGAATAGCATACAATTTAATAGGACAGAAGATCAAATTTGGCTTCAAATTATAAGGTCTGATAACGATTGTATAATATTTTGATTCCCTAAGGACTGAACGCAACGCTCTTGAATTGTCTGGTTCCACATCCTGAGTGTTGGTGCACATCCAAGTTAAAGTTTTGCGTATCCTTGACAGGACGTTGCGGAACCAACCCCAACGTGATGTGTATAAGGAGTTACTCCGTACGTCATTCGGGGCGCCAGCCCTGCACCGTTCTGTTTTTACGGAACCTCGCGCAAAACTCCTGCAGCACGCCACAGATAATGTCTCAAATGAGCAGTAACAGAGCTATAGAAAGATCTCGGAGCTGACGGCCCTGAGAGGTGTAGTGACCTTGTGGCTCTCAGCCCGCCTACAAACGCATGGGTAAAAAAGCTTATCAAAACTCATTAGGAACATAAGTAAAGGCTTGCCAAACGTACAACTAAAATGACAACCCTCAGTTAAAAGTTTGTGGGTGAAGAAAACATTGTGTTGCTGAGACTCAACCCTTGACCTAGAGATTTGCCCGCAGCACAAACGAGTAACATCTTTGGGTGGCGTCTCGCAGCAAGATTATACCCATGTACATCCTCTGTCAACCCTTAGTGTCGTCGCGACAGCGAGATACACCAAGACAGCAACCATCAATCGGCGGGTTACGCACAAATGCCTGGAAAAAATCTTACGGCACACGAGCAAGCTAAAAAACCGACTATCATAAATTGTATTGATTGGGGGAAAAAAGTCCAAATGTTTACATCCCAAGATCACACTCGCCCGAGATAAAGACATGCCTGACGCATGATTCTCCATTCTAGCGTGCTGTTGGCATGCTAGAGTTGACAATCGTGCGATGAAAAAGATTGTACCTATGCGTGTGGTCACAAAAGTCCAGAACCCAAAGGCTGCTCTCGGCTGATCTCTTGAGGGTGCAGCCCGTGTCAAGCGGGAAGCCTAATATGGTTGTGAGGTTAAGCAGTTATGTGCAGGACGTGACGATTCCCTGTGCCCAGAACCTGAGCGTTATGTGACAGCTCTGCTTTTATGGAAGCCACCTTGAGGAATGCCTATGATCTGCCCCTGCCTTCCCTTGAGGGCTAACACAGGGCTGCCCCAAACGGGGGTACTCTGGGGACAACACCTGTGGAGAGATGGACAAAGAGGACACCACACAAATAAGGTAACATCTCGACCCACACAAAACAATGGCCACAGTCATCCTAGAAATAGGCCTAATGTCTTTCCTCGAAGTCGGAGAACATCTGCCCGTGAGGCAGGGAACAGCAAAAGCCAGTAAAACGGTTGTACACTTAAAACTCAGGTCCAGGTAAAAGCCAAAAGTTCAAGCGGACGATCAACCTGACCTTCCTTGACCTAACTCTAAGCAAAATGAATGTCGCATCTGCAGCTAGAGTTTTCATAGAAAGGTGAAGACAGGCATTCTTTGCTGCTAATGCCACAGGTAAAGAGCACTGCCTGGATCTCTTGTCCAGGTCATGCTAGTGTGGTTGGGAAATGATGAGCAGACAGATTGGCTGGCTCTGCACACAACTTAGTGGAATACTGATACAAGATGAAGCAGATGCGGCTAAGGCCTTATGGGAGTGTGTGTACAATTTAGGAACAGTAAACTGATCATAATGGTCTGGTGACAGTCATGTTGCGCACAACAATGCTGAAAAGAGAAGCGAAACAGACAACCAGACTGCTAAAGATGGAAACAGCGCACTTATGGAAATGACTCGAGTGCTGTGATGTCAGGCTTTGAAGAGGCATTGGATACAAACCTTGATAAGTGCAATATACGTGCTAGTATTATAAGCCTTGTATATTACACTGATTCACAGCTAGAGCTGTATAATACCGCAAACATTGGTCAATACAGATCCCTTTTCCCAAAACTTCAAACATGCGCTGATAACCCTGCTTACCTTGAAAGTGGGCATATCGTCCATCTGTGCCATTGTGTTAGCTGGAAGACAGACAAGGTATATGATATCAGTTCAAATCCACAACAACGTGACTATTGAAGAAACAGATGGTCACAGGTGCATAGAAAGATCTAGGCCGCCAGTCAAATAGCCATGTACTTACAAACAATGTTGTACAATATCACTTGTAATACTGCTGTTGATACAAAGGTACATGTAGATGACAGCCTTCAAAGTCCCACAAAATATCTGCTTTCTAGCCATCTCTATAAAAAAAAAATTTTAGTGCCTCTTTTGGTCAAGCTAAACATAGGTACCTGGTACTACCTTAAACACTAAAGGCAGCTGACCTTTTGTGATATCGGCTAATCAATCGTGAGAATACTGTTGCGTGTAATTTCTGGGGCATTTATTCTTTTTAGTGGAAAGTTATGGTTGTTTGTCCACTTCTGGACCGCAGTCCTGTTCCAGAACACGAGTGTTGGTGCATCCGTTTGACAGATCTGACACATTTGTGTGCAGACCGTTGTTTCTTGTCTCTCAGGCAGATGCACTTAGACTTCAAAGGAGGCTCCCAATCAGTCGACTCTTACGACATGTTTTTGGGCGGGCAGTGGGTCTATTCTTGTTTTCCCTATAAAAGGGCCCCAGGACCAACAGGGGGGGGGGGGGGGGGGGCTTTATTGAATTCTCTAACCCTTTATTTTAATTAACAATAAGCCATTTTTTTTTTAAATTACAATTATATGTCACTTGAGTCATCATTGTTAATATGTCCGGGACCCTGCTAGTGAAGGTGACTGGTTCCACCTGCTCCTGGGTGTCATTAACGGTTACTGAGGATTTGCTGAAAAAAGGAGGAAGCGGTCAAATGTAGATATCACTGTCTAGCTGTAAACCACAAATTGCCAACTGCCCTTTTACTTTAAGGAGCTAACAAAAAATGTAATTGTTTGGACCTCAAACACAGAAATGGGCCGTTTTACCTCTAATGATCTAACTAAGCAACAGTTGCTTTCTGAGACTATAATTTCATAAAGTTTAAATTGATATAGAATTACTGGTAATAGAAGGTGAAGAACAGCGATGGTTGCCTAAACAATTACAGATAGTGGTGACCTTTTATTGCAGGCAGCTGCTATCCTTTTATTGCAGGCAGCTGCTATCCTTTTATTGCAGGCAGCTGCTATCCTTTTATTGCAGGCAGCTGCTATCCTTTTATTGCAGGCAGCTGCTATCCTTTTATTGCAGGCAGCTGCTATCCTTTTATTGCAGGCAGCTGCTATCCTTTTATTGCAGGCAGCTGCTATCCTTTTATTGCAGGCAGCTGCTATCCTTTTATTGCAGGCAGCTGCTATCCTTTTATTGCAGGCAGCTGCTATCCTCTGAATAACAGTCTCAAATTATCGAGCAGCAGCTCCAGCATCTCCTGTAGCTTCATTTGATTTGCTCCTGAGTCCCAGTCGTCTAGTTTAGCACCATTCCGCGCCGCAGGAGACAGTCTCGGCGTTGGCGGTATAGTCGCCGGAGAGTTTGCAATTTACATGTGACTGAGGCCCTGTAAGGGTTATTATTTTAGGCCTCTATAATTTGAGACCGTTATTCGGAGGATAGCCCAGACAGCTTTCTCAGCCATTAAAAAGAGGGGTGGTGTGAGGGGGTCATTGACATTTGCTTAGGAAACCACGTCTGTTGCCTCTAAATTCTTCCTTAAATAATAAACGAATGCTCTGACAGAGACTACAAGAAAGAAAAATCCAGCAGCCTTCATTTGTGTTCACCGTCTTAGTCTTAACTCCAACAAGAAAACTTTTGGTCATCTGTCCCTCTTCAGACTAGTCATGTTCCAGAATCTAAATTGCGTGCACATCTATTTTACATTGTGCATTTGTATGCAAATGAGATTGTTGGTTCCTTTTCTCTCAGGCAGATCACTGACCCCAAAGGCATTGGGGGGGGGGGGGGGGGAGGCAGAGGGTCCATTCTTGCCTCCCTCCCCCCCTTACATAGGGTCCCGGAACCCACAAAAGAGCGCCTGGACCAGTGGGTACTCAAACCCGGCCCTTCATCACGTGTCATAGCGGGAGTCCACTCTACATTACAACAAATACGGCGACATTTATATAAATAAAAAGTGACACACCGAAATAGTGATTCACACAAGCAGATATTTATAGAAACAAACTGTCATATTGCGATGAATCTATAAATTATAAATTAGACAATCCATTAAAAAGGCAAAATTTGTTGTTACAGAGGTAAGTCCACTTAGCAGGACATTTATAAACAAATATAAAACAAGTATGCAAGCTTTATATCATTAAAAATTAATATTTAAATGTATAAAATATAAAAGCTACTTAAAATAAAGCACCATATGATCGAATTTCGCCCGCCAACCTGACCACTAACTATTAAAACAAAGACTTATCGATAAATGGACAACATTATAAATCAAACAAAAACTCAAGTGAATAAAACGCCGATCTTTACAATAATGGCTGTTGTAACAAATACAAACGATGGCGATGTGTAAAATGTATGTCTAGGCGCGAGAAAATAGCTGATGTTTGAAAATAATGACGGATTGTGATGAAGACTTACGTTCTGCGTCCCTCTGACACTGCGACAAAAAATGGTTGAGGCAGACTGATCCGGTTTTAGCGCGAAGTATACCGAAGTTAAAAATGGTCTACTTCCGGTCCGTTACCTTGCCTTTGTTTTCTGGGAGCTATCTCCCTTATGTTTATGTTTCAAAATTAATTTGTTTCCCGTAGGTTAGAGTATACATGTTCATCTGCAGATTACATCTGGCGCTGGTGTAGTCGATATGAGTATCCTAGCTATAACAGTTTTTTTAATGTTGAACAAGGAATCTTCCTGTTTGGGTTCCAGGGCCCCATTGGGAAGGGGAGGGAGAGACAAAAATATACCCACCGCTTCACTGACAAGCATGTTGTAACTGTAGATAAATTAGAAGTTTCTTTCGAAGTCGGAATGTTTCTGACCAAGAAGACCAAAAGTCTGCACACAAGTAAGCCGGATCTGTAAAACAAATGACACGCGAAGCTCAAGTTCTGGAAGAAGACTAGAGTCAAGAAGTGGACGAACAACCATAACTTTACGACGCAGTTTATAGTCGGTGAACGCAAAGACGAAGACGAAGAAGAAGTAGCCTAATGTTATCTTTCAGTCGTGATCTGGGTCTACCTTGTGCTCTACTTCGCTCACCTCTATTTGTAAATGACTTATAGTGAATGAATGAATGAATGTCTACCCCACCAGACATCACACAAGCGATAAACACCCGATGACACAGTGTGCCACCATGTGGGTGAGGATCACCATGGAGAGGTCCCAGAAACCGCGTTCAGATAATTGGCTATATTTATGGCCTGCCTATATTGCGGCCCCTGGCAAAAGCCAGAGTGGGGCTTCAAGTAACAAAAAATTTCAGGACGTAAAGATTTGAAGCTATACTTAACTTTGACTTATAGTCAATATAGTGTATGGCGTCACAAGATATTGTCTCGAGGCAAGAAGTCCGCTTGAGTGTTCAGGCACCGGTGAAGGTTGGGATATTTTCCCATGGACTTCAAGTAATTTCCTCTGGCCTCTGGGTAAAAAAAAAAATAGGGTGCCTGTGTGTATTGTTTCGCACGTAAAAATCCCTTGGCGGCTAGAAATCGATTAGCTTAACGGAGGTGCCCGGTTAAAATTTGGATTTAAAAATCTACCCACAGTAGTTAAGAATCCTCGTCGTTGTAACTGAGGACGTTCGCTGCACTGAGATTCTTCGGACTTGAGTTAGAAGAAAAACGGAGCACTTATGGGTTACTACTCTTGTGCCATGACGTTGATCCGTTGTTCTCTCTGAATGGTCAAACTTTTTGACTTTGAAAAGATGTCAGTAGTCATATAGATAATGTAGTTGGTCAAATATATCTTCAACAGGATGCAAAAAATTATTCACACCTAGGAAGGGAAAAAGTAGGTAAAGTAGAGGACCCTTTTCCACGCCTTTAGGCGTATAGGGCATATAGGGCTAGACCTATATTTTTATAGACCAATCGGCACAAGATGGGTGATGTGGTCAGCATAACGTTAGCCGCCTTTACTTTCCCGGGACTGCACCCGTACCCACTCAAGGCTGGGTCGACCTGGGAGCCAAGGTCATTTTTGAACCCACGACCTTCCGATCCGCGACAAGCGTCTAGCCGCTCTGCCACGGCGAACGGAACAATACATTAAAACGTATAATATACATCATGGCTGGATATGCAAACCCTTACACGCGTATGTTTTCTCTGTGACTCAATGAGTTTGCACAGGAAAACATAAATGGGCTGGGTCCGAAGACACTGGATGGAGTCTCTGAGGCGGTCGAGGCTGACAAATATCAGTTTCATATTTGTGCCAGGATACACAAGTGTCCAAGGAAATGAGCAAGCGGATAGGCTTGCAGGTAAAACCACCATGGCGGGCAGCGTACATAGACCACGCTGATATACTGAATGCTCTACGAGAAGTGAGATGTTTTAGATTTTAAAGAAATGATTCAGTGTGAATTTGTAACCACGACCAGACTGAACAAGTAACGCGTTAAACGGGTTCTGGCCAGACATAAACACTATACAGGACGCATAAGAAGAATAAGAAACAAGCAAAGGACTGGTGTCGTGAGCCGCTATACGCTGCGGTAGCTACTGAGGAGGGTATCTGGGCACTTATGGACTGAATGGTTTAAGGTTCATTGAGGATAATCAGTCAATGTGTTATCAATACTCAACCCCTGTTGTAACGTGCTCAATGCTCAAACTTTGAAAATGAACAAGCAGCTCGAAAATCCATTCGAGCTGAGTTGAGTTGAGCAAAGAATTGACATCACAGCACCCGGGGCCTTTCCATGCGCGCTCTGTCCTCATCTTCAGCAGCCAGCGCAGCGCTCCAGTACTGATGGTACCGGTCACAATCTGGTTATATGTCCGTCTTGCCTTTTCTCTCAGTGTAGTGAGCCGGATGCCTCATTCTCT